TTAGAAGTTCAAAGGTAGTTATGTAGTTTTATTTTTTAATAATTTATGCCTTTCTTATCATTGGGAATATATTTTAAGCATCAAATTATTGGAAAAGTGAAGAAGAGACAACAACCACACACACCTATATTGACTTACACATAGGAACGTAACACTTTCAAACACCCGAAATCAATCACACACTGCACTACCAAAATAGTAAGGATCTCCCAGAAATATATCTTCCTGATTTGCTTAAGCTGTTACCATGGTTGCACTGACCCAGAATTGAGATGCAGTCTAGGAATATTCAGTAGCTGTAACACGAGGTAAATATTTCCACGACAATACTGTACACTTCACCGCAGCAACACGTCATTACACAACACCAAATACATCAGCTGCTTGTCTGGATGTGACCTAAATAGTGTGTTTAATAGTGCTACTGTCAGCATCAATAATTGAAAATTGTGACAATAGAGGTCAGAATATTTTGGTTATATTTATTAATTTGTCTTAGCAGTATATTTACCATCAGAATAAATATCAAGTCTAGATGCTGTCATATCTTTGTATTTGTTTTGGCTCACAGTTTTTCTATATGTAAAGCGGGAATTATTAATGTGTAGTATTCAAGGCTATAGTGTGTGTGCATTGCTGGATCATAGACCATTCATGATGGCGATTATATATTCATGCCATTGTCTAATGACATTATTTATGCAGGACAACTTGCTTTTACCAACCCACTGGGTCTTGGGTAAGAGAGTATCCTACACTCGGTGTCATAGCCAGCGGAAAAACTGCGTTAGAATTAACATTCCATACCTGGGCCTCTTCATTGATGTATATTTATCTTTTTTTTTTTTCTAAACTGAACCCAAATATTTTGTGGCAGTGCAGTGCAAGTTATAACGCAGGCCTTCCAAAAGTCAAAATTTCTGTGGGTCACTCGCAATTTTGGGTCCTTTCCCACTGTACCGACTTAGTTCCCTTGTGTCTCGCTATTGGGAACACAAAAGACTTGTCCCCAACAAGCATAGCGTGAGCACATTTTTAGTTGTAGTCTGGGACAAAAGCCGAATTTGTGACAAGTTAGATATATAAGCAAGTGGGTTGTGGTGTGCGGAAACTGACGTATAGGGTAGGCCTGTAATAAAAGAGGGCCTACCTGGTAATAGTAATATAGTATAAGGGGAGAGGTGGGAGGGATGAACCCGGCGCCATCAGTCCTGTGGTGTAGGGGGCCTTGGTTTAAATAGCTGGGTAACCCCTCCCACAACTTCAGACTCCGTCGTCTTATTTGTAGTCAGGGACAAAAACCGTATTTGTGACAAGTTAGATATACGAGCAAGTCGGTTGTGGTGTGCCGAAACCGACGTATCGGATAGGGCTGTAATAAAAGAGCATAAAAAGTTGAATGAAAATAACTTTATTATATAGTTACATAGTTACATAGCAGAAAAGAGACTTCCGTACATCAAGTTCAGCCTTCCTCACATTTGTTTTTTGCTGTTGATCCAAAAGAAGCCAAAAAAAACAGCACAATTTTGCAACAAGCTAGGAAAAAAATTCCTTCTTGACCCCAGAATGGCAGTCAGATTTATCCTTGGATCAAGCAGTTATTACCCTACATTGAAAGATTATATCCTATATATTACATATCTTTACATTGCAAAATTCATGAAGGCTTGTCTCAACTCTAGCTATGGTTGTGGTAAATATCTAGAATAAACTGCAGATTTCCAGCATCCTAATCTTCTTATGATGTCAGCAGGGACATTGTGTCTTGAAGGAGCTGATGCCGCCCCGATTCTGAATTAGTGTCTAGTAAAGGCATTGGGGTTGAGTCCCAGCCTAGTTAAGAGGGTTCTGTTGTACGTTATGAATTTAGCTGTAGTGAGTGGTTTGCCCTGCAGTGTTAGGGTTTAGGCCTGTGAGTGATAACCTATAAAGGTCTAGCATTTTCACCGGGCACCATTTATTGCCTGTAGGATAGTAACTTATCTCCGTTGGTGGTTGAGACGAAGTGCCCTTCGCCACTTGGTCCTGGAGAGGTCTAGCGGTAAAATAAGGTCCAGATATGGACCTTAATGTAAGAGTATGTAATGTGGCTTAAAGAAAAAACCCCTTCAACTGAAAAAAGGGTTCCACTATGAAGTCCCTTTAAATGCAATGAGAAAATAAAATATCAGATAAAATCTAATAAATTTCAGGAGTGGTTTTCCTTTAAATTGGTGATATATGGAGCAAATATTAATAGCTTATCAAAAACAATAATAATTGAATCTAATACAAATTGTGCAATATTTCACCTATGGTTTGTTACCATGCATTCATTAAAAAAATGTATCTGAATTACATAGAAAGCAAGTATAACTTTGTAATAGAAATGTCTCTATATGGATACAATAGTCTCTTTCAGAATGACACCATGGCCTGGAGAGGTCTGCTTGCCAGCCTCCTGCCCTGTGACTATGGCCCTGTGAGATTGTTCTCTTTTAAACCAACATTTGGGCTTATGGACTTTTATTGGACTGTGTATGGCCCTTTAAGAACCGTCTGTGGGCATATTGTGACTTTGGTGAACAACACCCCTTTAAGACTATGTTCCCTGGAAGATATTGCCTGTTAAAGACTATTTTAGCAGATTGGATTTTAAAAGACTCTTGCTGCCCCTTTAAATTGTATTGGAGCAGTTCTGCAGCTTTAAATTGGCACTTCGGATGCAGCCGAAGTGCCGAAGTAGTCGAAGTGGCCGCCATTCGACAAACAAACACGTGGCGGCGGCCATCTTTGTTCATTCAAACGAGGTCAGCGGTATGTGTAGCCAAATCCATGGAACTGAAATCGGCTACACATTTCAATGAACACCGCTGTCCCTTACCTTCTCCTGCACTGCGTTTTCAGCCACAGAGACTAAGTCCCGTTCGAAGATTTGAACGCACGTTCGAATGGGACTTAGTCATTTTTTCAGTGTGAAATTGACCGACCGCACAGGCCAAATCTATGGGACTTTATTGGTTATTTTACAAAACCCTGTGGGCGGTACTGTATCTGTAAAACCTGCATAAAAGAAGGCCCTTTGGTGCCAAGTAAAACAGATCTTCTTGACCCTCAATACGTAGCCTTGTCTCGTTATTGGAGGGAACTGCTATAATCACACTGGGGATTGCTATGCTCTGCATACTCCCTTGAGCTGTAAATCATCTAGCTCTTCTAAGAGCTTGTTCCTGATACACTCTCCTGGAGGAGAGGTCTTCCCCACACAGTCCTGGATGCTGGAGGTTCATACAGAGTGAAAGGAAGAGGTCTTTCCCACCCGCTCCTGGAGGACAGAAGCTGATCCAGGGTGGAAGGAAGACGGCGAGACTCCAGTTAAGCTACGGCGGTTGTGGAGTCTGCGGTGGTTGTGGTGTCCGGTGCGGTGCTTGTGGTGGTCGTCGCAAGCTAGGAAGCGCCCATTAACGGACAGTGGTCCTGATTGATTAGTTTTAGTATGAATGATAGAGAGAACGTAGTGATCTGAGTGTTTGCCAGGATTATTTTAAGGTAATCCTGGCTGGATGTGGTATTATCGGTTGTAAATTCGTTAGATTGTAAGAACCCGTAAAATGCCAGGTAAACTGCAGTCTTAATGGTGAGGTTTGTATTTGGTTCACATGGTTTAGTGTCTAGCAAGTCGGATAGTGCCCGGAATTTGGGACCGTCTATGGGTTGTCTTTTTGTTGTGGGGTTATCTAGACATTGAATACCTCTGAGAATATTCTTCACAGGGTAAGAGGACATGCATTGTTTGGTACTAGGATAGGCATTAAAGATATGGTGTTGTATTCCAGTCAGGTAAAGTTTTATGGTGTTGCGATAGAGTTTTAAATTGAGGTGGCAAAAGGAGATGAATGCCACTATAGAATTCAGTGAATGATAGTCAGATGTAAACTTGGAGTAAATGGCAAACACCCTATTGTATGCTTTTAAGGTGTAGACTGAGAGGGCAGATCTAGCCAGGAATCTGCAGTGTGCCATTAGGCCGATTAATCCAGGATTAGGTCTTTAAACAAGAGAGTTGGGACCAGAACAATGTTGGCCATCAGGTGGGCTTCGAAGAACTTCTGAACTTTAGAGCAAGAAAGAGAGTCAGCTGCTATGTTGGTGCGTCCGGGGATGTAAATGCATGTAGTGTGAAAATGTAACAGGGCCGCTAGCCATGTGAGGCATCTGATGAGCATTTAACTGCCTTACCTTACCAAAGGTGCCTCCAGGCCTTGGTGGCAGCTACTATAGGGTAAATTTCAAATGAGGCTGAAGTAGTTTGGAATGAGCGCAGGTCAAGACTCTCGATTGGCCATGTGTTTCTAAACCAGGAATTGCCAAAAATTGCAGCAAATCCAGTCTGAGATGGGGGGGATGAACATTGCTTTACCGTTCCAGTGGGACAGAAACCTGAGCAACATGTTAAGATCAGCTATGGCATGTTCATCCAGATTTATGCTGCTGTTGTCATTTGTCAGTCAGGGAAGAAGGCATAAGAGTCGGGAGATAAAAGTTCTGCCTTGTGGATAATATGCCAGGTTGTCTATGTTAACATCAGTCAGTCATTGCTTTGGATACAGACGGTTAGGGCACATCGTTTTGGTGTGAACCCTATAACAAACTGAGCAGACGTGCAGCAATCTGCACAAGCCAAATCCGCAACTGCCTGAATTGAAATTGTTGCAGATCTGCGCTTTCCCTAGCTATATTATGGGTCTGCCCAATTTATCTTTAAAACCTCTGTGTTCAGCAGTGGATGAACCGAAGGGTGCACGACTGGTAGTGGGAAGACTTGGATCCACTGTACACAAGATCCCTGTCGTTATATGATTTGTTGTCCACGACCTCCAGGGAGGCAATAAGTTGGGAAATCAAATTCACATCCTTGCCTTCCAGAATGTCCTTGCGAACAGTCGGGGGTACTAGGTGCGCCTGAGTGAATATGTGAGTGGAAGTGCCAGGAGAAGGGTCAAAGTTCATGGCATTACCGTGTAAAAGAGAGGGTGTGGGGAGCTCCGTGGCAGGGTTCGGTATCGATGCCTGTGGATTCTCCAGTTTCTCTAGTCTAAGGCTAACAGTATTGGTGGAAGCAATCAGAGCTATCATGTTCTTAACTTCGGTGAAGTTGTCTGCATTACACGGACATTGAGGTGTGCCGGAACTAGTAGTTAGGAGGCGGTACAGTTTGGCTTTATGGGCAGTGGCTGGGAAGGAAATGCCTAAATGTTTCAATTCGCTGACAAGTTTCGGGATAGTTCTTTACGGAGAAAGCCAGGGCTGGCCGATTCTAGTTGCTCTGTAGGAGTACTGGGTCCAGGCTGGGTGAGGGGTCTGGCTGGGGTGCCAGGTAAGGAGAGTTCCTCATCATGTTCTGGGACTTGCGCCATTCTACAATACAAGGATGTTATGATGAATCCTGATAAGAGCATAATTTACCTATTCCAACTGGCTTCTAGCTAAAACTTAATGCGAAGAAATTACCTGGCATACGAGGAAGATAAGGCTCTGGTAGTGCCAAGTGGTTTTGAGAGGCTCTACCTATAAATTGGGCAATTGGGCAGGGATCACTTGTAGACATGACGGTAGCGTTTGCATCTTGGTGACCGTAAAAGAGACTATGAGAGGGGGCACAACTGTTGAGGCCCTAATTATACACCTGAAGAGGTTGGTGTGAGGCATTTTCTACGTACTGGGCTGAGGGGTGATTAAGGATGGGTGTAGGCTTCACTGGATTAGTTTGTCATGACTATTAAGGGCCATTGATTTCTAACGATACAGCCAGTTGAACTAGCCATACCAGTGATAAAAAGAGAGGGCGAGAGGAGTTGAGGATGAATACGTCCATGTAGCAACTGGTCCACGTAACGTATTGCAAAGTTATGTACCTAAAAAGTGGCAGCGGGGGGATCCAGTGGCAGCGGGTGGATCCTGTGGCAGATAGTAGGAAAGTTTGCAACGCAGACTATCACCTAGTTTGAGGTATAGACATTATTGTTATTTGATGACCCGGGAGCGTAGCTTTACCGACAAAATTAGTGATACATGAGTAATGCAATGTGCAAATGTGTTAGGTTACTTAGAATTGATGGACATAAATTACAATTGACATGAGTAGTGACGAATAAATTCCCAAACTTAAAGCATTAGGATGTGAATTTGTGAATTAGGAAAATTGCTGACTTACGTTTCCCCAGTTCTGAGGGAAAGATGTTCAGTTATCTGAGAGAGTATAGAGACCGTAATTGGATGATGAAATCGGTGCGGACAGAATGGACAACCTAATTTATGGGGAAAATAAGTAACTACTTAATATGTGCGTAAAAGTACAGGTGGATAGTGACAACCTTAATAGTGGAGAAACGATCGGCATAGTATGATGTAGTTGAGTGACATATCTTTCTGTATACACGTCTATGCATATATATATATAATAACCAGAAATAGACTGTGTGGGACGGAAATAGGTGACAAACTGGAGAAATGGACCGAAATATACATAGTACATTATAATATTGACCGAACAGTGTAATTTACTTGGATGCCGCTAGAGGGCAGCGTGTGTCAGTGCGGTTAGTTCGGTGGGTTCGACTAAACCGTCAGCCACCGAAAGAGTGAAACCTAGAGTAACAGGGGTCTCATCAGGGAAAGAAACATTCGAATGGACAGCTCGTGTGGATGGTACCAATAAATTACCACAAAAATTCTTACAAGCCTCAAGACAGAAACACGAGTCACCAAACCCCCCAACGTTTCGGCACCAACTGGCTGCCTTTATCAAAAAAGTACACTTGATAAAGGCAGCCAGTTGGTGCCAAAACATTGGGGGGGTTTGGTGACTCGTGTTTCTGTCTTGAGGCTTGTAAGAATTTTTGTGGTAATTTATTATTATTATTTTATTGTATTTGCCCTTGCTTCTGTCACTTTGTTTATTTTTCTTATATGTTTTCACTCTGGTACTTTTTTGTACATAATAAAGCTACATCTTTAATGGATGGAAAATGTACCAAATATACAAATAAATCCCAGCCTGTTGACAAGAATTAAAACAGCTACTTTTGCTCCAGAGCAGTAAATGTCCTCTATGTGAGTTCTCAGCCTTTACTCTGAGCCCATATAATGTGGGCTCAGAGCAAAGGCTGAGAACTCACATAGAGGACATTTACTGCTCTGGAGCAAAAGTAGCTGTTTAATTCTTGTCACAGGCTGGGATTTATTTGTATATTTGGTACATTTTCCATCCATTAAAGAGGGAAGGAGTCATCCCATAAAAGGACTCATATGCCTTTCTACTTAGAGCCAGGTTACAGGCTCTGGTTCAGGTGAGAAGCAATCTTCACCTGCATATATATGTTTATATATCGTTGTCTCTAAGGATTTCAACACTAGGGCGGATTTCCCCCTGTTTCTCTTTTATTTTGAGGGTTATTCCTTATTGGGAGTTGAAGGTGTGTGTCACCTAAAGGACACAAGGCAAGAGTGATTAAGAGCCAATCCATAATAGGCTCTGAACCACTATATATATCTCCTATACCCTCCAAGATTCAGGAGAATATATATATATTCCATATCCCTAAAGTTCCTCATGGTGTAAGTCGATATTACCTAGCGCTACACACTGTCACTTTTTCATACTGGTTATGTAAATAAGTGTTCTTTTCAGACATATCCAGAGAGGTTGGTCAATTCTTCACCCCAATGGCGATTTGACTACGTTTGTGGGATCTGAGCGCTTTTCGGATATGTTGTGCACTCAGATCCAAGCTATCTGGGGATGTGCAGACTATGGTGGTTCGGTTGTACGAAAACTCTCAAACTAGACCAACCACAATCCCTGAAACTATGGAACTCTTTCTGGGCAGACATCTCCAGAGAGGTTGGTCAATTCTTCACCCCAATGGCGATTTGACTACGTTTGTGGGATCTGAGTGCTTTTCGGATATGTTGTGCACTCAGATACAAGCTATCTGGGGATGTGCAGACTTTGGGGGTTCGGTTGTCCGAAATATGACTATGTATTTTAAAGTGTTTTTGTGAATTTATAAAAGAGTGAATATTTTCTGTACTTGGAGATAATTGAGTTTAAGCCACCCACTTAACTTAATTATCTCCCAGATTCAGAGGAGGGATTATACTGTTTATGTGGGAGTGTCCTGGACCTGGGTGTCATTGTCATTGGGTGATTGTTTTGTGTTACTGTCCCCACTCAGGTCCAGGATGGAGTTTCCCTTGCATTGGGACCTGCATAAAAGGCCAGCTGTGGCTTCCATTAAACAGAATACTTTACCCCTTCATGAAGTCTTGGCTCATGTTTGGGGATTGGGAGTTATATTCACTACAACTTCTTCTATGCTTGGATTTCGGTAGATTCTGCACGGATATACTCAGCTGGAGTATAGGGGATCCGTTACAATAGTTATGTTGTGAGATTTGAAAACTCCCGACCGAGCCTGGTTTCAGGCCAAACGGTCAGTGTCTGCTAGTCTGACCAGTGCACTACACCAATGAATGGGGAAAAGGCTGCTATTAATAAGAGAATACACCTTTGCTGAGGCAGGGGGCAAATGGGTAGAACAAAAGGAGAGTAAAGAAAGTATATACATAAACTCTTGACATGGAGAGTGTGGAGTGTGATGCATTGGGGAGCAGTCAAGCTCACAGTCCAGTGTGCATCCCATGGGGTAGTCATGTGGAGCGAAACTCGTCCCAGAGCCAAATTTTGTGCGCATTGCATATTACACAAACTGTCTGTTTCAATGCTCGGGCGAGAGTTTACTATGGATCACATGCTATTTAACGAGCCTGTCTACATATTTGTCTTTACCTGTGGTTTATTGGTTAACTTTTGTATCGTAAGAAAACTTGTTGTGTTTTTTGTGTGTTTGTTTTTTATAAACTTTCATCAACTTTTCTTTGTATCGTCAGAAGAGGTTGAATTAAGAAACACAGGCATCTGCCCCCGGCTTTGCATAAGCAGCAACAAACCATTCTAACATATTTCTAGCGGTATGCCTATAGATTCGTGAGCCACTATTAGGCAGCCCATCGATTAGATCTGTCAGGCTCAACTTAGTGCTTGGGTGTACCTTTACCCTATAAGGGCTGTCACGGGCATTTTAACCCCTTAAGGACTGAGCCAAATGTACACGTTATGATCAAAACAAAACATAAATAAAACCTGGAATTTGCGCTATATGTCTGTCAAACCATAATTTACCTCTTTCATATTAAATGCACCCACACTTATTATATATAATTTTATTCAGGGGAAACAGGACTTTCATTTAACATCAAATATTTAGCTATGAAACATAATTTAGTATGAATAAAATATAAAATAAGGGAGAATTTTTTTTTTTTAAATGTTTAGTTCTACATGACATTTTCACTGAGAATGTCATAATACTGTTTGCTTTTACTGCAATAAAATACACGTTTGTATTCAATGATGTCTCACGTGTAAAACAGGACCCCCCATGTACAGGTTTTATGGTGTTTTGGGAAGTTACAGGGTCAAATATAGCATGTTACATTTTTCAGTTTTTTCACATTGAAATTCGCCAGATTGGTTACGTTGCCTTTGAGACCGTATGGTAGCCCAGGAATGAGAATTATCCCCATGGTGGCATACTATTTGCAATAGTAGACAACCCAAGGTATTGCAAATGGGGTATGTTCAGTATTTTTTAGAAGCCACTTGATCAAAAAACTAGCCAAAGTTAGCGTTAATATTTGTTTGTGTATGAAAAATGCAAAAAACTAATTTGAACGCCAATTTTGGCCAGTGTTTGTGACTAAGTGGCTACTAAAAAAGACTGGACATACCCCATTTGCAATACCTTGGGTTGTCTACTATTGCAAATGGCATGCCATCATGGGGGTAATTTTCATTCCTGGGCTACCATACGGTCTCAAAGGCAACGAAACCAATCTTAAGAATTTCAATGTGAAAAAACTGAAATGCAAGCCTTATAGTTGACTCTGTAACTTTTGAAAACACCTTAAAACCTTCGCTGAACACAAATATTTGTGTTTCAAAACAGTGAAAAGTATCACAGAAATAATATCTTCAGTGTTAGTGCCGTTTGTGTGTAATGTCACTTTCACTGACAATATCATCGTTCTAATACATTTTACTGTTTTGAAACACTAATATTTGTGTTCAGCGAAGTCTCCCGAATAAAACAGTACCTCCCATATACAGGTT